TCTAGACACAAAATACAAAACTTTGTAAGTCACATTATTTCAAAGATCGCGTAGAAACTTTTTTTATAGTTTATATTTTTCATACCTGCTCACCGCAGTTTATGTTGAAAAATTTTGATTCAATTTTCCGGAACACGTTTTGTCAATTTACTGTTGTCCCTTCTAGGTTTTGGTTTTTAGTGGCTGCTTTTAGTGCCTGTTATTAGATCGCCCTATGGAATTGCTCGTAGTTAATAGCAAGAAAGTACATGGCTTCACGGGTCGAGGTCGTGATTTTATGTTCAGACTAAATAAATCTGAATCGATCCGCGTGGGGACCAAAAATTCATAGTCGCCACTCAAGCCGAATTCTACAAAGTCTTAACATACGTGTGCAAGGTCTAAACATAAGTTCTCGGGTTGAGGTTTCGGTTTAAATTTCGACCGAGTGAGTAGGTCGAATAATTGCGGGGAGGTCAGTACCCGGATTAAAAATTATGAACCAACAAAAATCTCGGTTTAGACTGTAGAATCCTGGCTGTAGATTCCAGGAATATCTGTATTGTTTGTTCGTAAGTTTTTGTTTTATGTTCGACTTTATGTTTCGAAATTCAAAATCTCAGTTCAGACCGTGTGAGTAGGTCGAAACATAAAGTCGAACATAAAACAAAAACTTACGAACAAACAATACAGATATTCCTGGAATCTACAGCCAGGATTCTACAGTCTAAACCGAGATTTTTGTTGGTTCATAATTTTTAATCCGGGTACTGACCTCCCCGCAATTATTTCAATCTCGGTTTCTGCCGCTACTCACACTTTTTGCTAGACCCCTTGTCCTTAAACCGAATTAAATGGTCCAAACGATCTGGTGCTGAAATCTTTTGGTTCACAAGGTCCAAAACCACAAATCAGAGTTTTCCGGTTCTTACAGTCTGAATCCGGATTCTTTCGATCCACACGGTCTGATCTAGGATTCATTTGGTCCACACGGTCCTAAACCAAATTCTTTTCTTCCACACGGTCTGAATCCGGATTTCTGTACCCCACACGGTTTAAATTCGGATTTCGTTGGTCTACACGGGCTGAACCCGGATTCATTCGGTCCACATAGTCTGAATCCGGATTTCTTCTGCCCTCACTTCTGAACACGGATTCACTCAGTCCACACGGTCTGAACATAGTACTTTCTGGTCCACACGGTCTGAAAATAAAACCGCGACCTCAATCAGGGTTGTTACAATGACTAACAATTTTTTGCTCATGAACCGGATTTTTACCATAATCCACGCACGGCTACGGCTAATAACAACCAAAAGCACGTGTAATTTATAACCGAGGGCACATCAGCTAATTTTCGTTAAAAGCTGAACTGCTCGTATGTAGGTCCTTTCCTTAAAGATAAATGGTTTTCCTTCAATTTAATCAAAAGTGATCACTCATACAAGCGTACTTTGCGGAAAACTTTTAATTTCTAGACCTTGTCCTTACTTATTCCCATTATTCGTGATTAGTTGTGACAAAAAGTTGAAAACGTTTCTGTTAGAAAGCGAATCCATGCGTTTTGTTCACTGTTTTTAAGGTGATAAAAATCACCGGCAATCCACTTCTTTTGATTAATATGAACGAGTTTTCATATGCCTTTGATATATTTAGTTTGGCAGTGAACAAAGATCTCACGTTAGTTTCATCTATAATAAAATGGTACTGCACGCACGTGTACGACTGGCAAACAAAAAATTTAGTTTTTGATTGCATTCAAAATGAAAAAAGACCAACGGCCTCTTCAAGAAAACATTTGCTCATATACTTTATTTTTAAAATCAGCGATGTTTAAAACTCAAAATTATTCACATGTTTTAGCAACGACTTACGTTTTTGTACTAGAGCTGATCAATAAACAAAAGGAACTCCGGTATTAGAATGAATATTTTAATACCTTGATGACATATAATTGTTAAAAAACGGATTTTCATGACGTTTGTTAATCTACTTTTTTTAAATTAGAATTTTTATCTACGTTTTGAACTTAGTTACAGTAAAGTCTGAAGATGATATCAAGTACACCACGTATAAGCCGGACTAAGAAAATGTCTGAAATGGCTCGCAATCTGTTCAATGGGATCTAGTCAGTCTACAGATCAAACATTTACAGAGCAAACCAATTCCAATTCTCAATATAACTCAAACCAGAGATCCGGTCAAAGCCAGCAGCAAACTCAAGAAAGAACTTCCGACCGGGAGTCCGGCGGAGGTCGCTCGACCGGCGGAAGATCCGGCGATACCGCCAGCCGATTCCAAAACACAACGACTAGCTCTTCGGGCGGCGGACAACAGAGAACGACGAGAAACGACTCTCAAATGTCTTCGTCAAGAGGCGCGAGAAGCAACGCTGGTAAGTTAACAGTTTGAAGTTTTTTGTAATTTTGTTCTTGTTTTTCAAAAATAATAAAACCGTGATCAAAATTAACATTGAGGCAAAATTTAGACAAAAATCAAAACTGCCAAGATAATTTATGCTTGTTTTAGAAAATTATACTAAAAAGTGTGAAATTGGTTCAAATTTTTTTTTTATTAAATCTATCTTATATCAGTTTTGGTATCCTGATTGCTGCTAATTATATGAAAATATTCAAAATGGTGCTTAAACCACTAACAATATTTCGATTGAGGGTACAAAACGCGCTAACGACTTTCTTAACAAGGCGATTAAATCACAGGTGTTAGGGATGTTTCAGAATGAAAGAATAACAAACAAATATTGGACCTTCAATTATATGCACTAAATATTTCTGCAAAATCATTTAAACCAAAAATTGACCTAAAGTTGTTCTGGAAAGTTCAAGTTAAATGGGTATGACTACGTTGAGTAATTTCAGATATTTCATTTTGGAATCTGATGAAAATCATTGATGAATCAGCAGGTACTAAACACAATGTTTGTTTTCTTGTTTTCAATGGTATAGCTTGCAGCTACTTGTCCAACATAGTTTAGAAGTCATCATTTAACCAATTCTCAGATGTGGATTGACGAGGGGGGGCCCTCCGTTTTGTTTCAGGAGCTCGACCATTCGTAACATTGAAAAAGCGACAACTGATTGCAGAACAATTTTCCATTATAATTGTGAGACCAATTTGCAATGAATTGAATTAGTAATTCGCGACAACCAAACGGCCATGCCTTAGCCGGTTTTTACAAAACACTAGATTCGAAACAAAAAATCTGATTTGGAGCTATTTCTCGGTTTAAGGTCGCCGATGGGCGCGCTACGCGCGCGTGGCCACTTCGCGGCGATAACCGGCTCTAAATTTCGTATAGAGTCCTACCCTCTGTAGGCAAGCTCGCAACACGTTGGCGCGACTGCGGCGGTCACTATTATTGGCTGAATTGTCTGAATTTCAAACCGGCTGAATTGTCTTTGGCCGAATTGTCTGGACGCGGATATGGAATGTTTCGCGAATCTACCAAGCAAATAATACCGATTAAATTCACTTGCAACCAAATTTTGCCTTTTATAATTGAAGATTTTTTTTTCGTCAAACCTTCAATAAAGTGCCCAACAACCTTTTGACTCAGTTTGTAAAATTTGCCGTCGACATAAAATTTTTTGCTTTTCTTGTTTTTTTTGCTAATGTTTTTGGTCGACCTAAGAAAATGGTCGACAACACTTTCGATTTTTTTGTATATCCGCCCTCTCTTGAAAGTTGTAGATCTGTTGGTTCTGTGACCACTCAATTTGTTTTGATTTTGTAAGTATTAGGTTTCTAAAAAGTGTTTGCATTGGAAAGCGTATCGACTAGCATAAAGCTCGACTAGCAGAAAAATTCAAAATTGAAAATCGTATCGACTAGCATAAGAATTTAAAAACTTTAAACTGTATCGAATAACATAAAAAATTGAAACACAATTATTACCAAAATCAAAATTATTTTACATTAAAAAATCATAAAAATCATGTCTTTTCTCACAAATTTCGACAGACAGTTCCTATTTTATCTCAATACGTTTTCATGTCACTGAGAGAGTTTTCGAGCAAAGTTTTCAAACGGTTGATTTTGACGTATAAGTATCGCCATTTCACTTGCTGTGTTAGGGGAATATCACTTCTCTAGATTCTTTTGAGGCACTAATCGATATGTTACAAGGCTATAACGCAGATCGGACAACATTTTCGGGCAAAAAAAACCTAGACTAAAATTTTTTCTCGAAACTTTATGGAAATGCGGCATTTTCTTGTAAGCCGTAGAATGACCAGCCAATTGAATTCTTCTGTAAATTGCTAAGGGTGTAATGAAAGTACATTCTTTGTTAATTGATCATAAACCCTGTTTCAAAATCTGATATGATCATTGTTGGCTGTACATATTTGTTCCACAAAAACATAATACTGTTTGTTTTCGGTTTTATTGTTCGTCTTAAACCTGTAGCCATCAACAACCAAGTTAACCCTCCGCCTGTTTTTGATGGAACAATGCTGAACTCGCGCATATTAATATGTCAATATCTGTTTTCGATTTTATTGTTCGTCTTAAACCTGTAGCCATCAACAACCAACTTAATCCCTCCGCCTGTTTTTGATGGAACAATACTGAACTCGCGCAGAGTCAGTTGTACGTAGTTGTAATGTATTTGAGAGTTTCCGTCAAGTAAGGCCAACAAAGCAGAATTTTTGTTTCGCCGAAGCAAACAAAAAAGTGGAAATTTGCTAATATGGCCGAAGTGCCGTTTTGAAGGTGCCATTGCAGAGACTAATTTCGGACTGTTGGAGATAACGCAAAAAATTTCAGCTGCAAAAATTGCTCAACCCGGCAAACAGCTGA